TACAATCTATTATACAAACACCAAGTTAAAACCTAAAATAAATAGTGAACCATACCAGGGAATTTGATAGTATTCTAAATAGATCCCATTGTGTATAACAACTCTTACCAAAATAACTAATGAGACCCCTAACCACCCCTCTCCATTGGAATACTTATTACTTCATTAATGTCTTAAGTATTTTTCATTCATTAATGAGTTAAACAAAAACTTGCTGAGTATTTACATGTGTCCAGGACATCATGCTCTGTGTTACACAGCAGATGATCAATAAAAGAGATTGTTGATGTGGTACATCTCACTTCCCCTAGATTACTGCCCTCCCTGCCCCACTGTGGAGGACCTTCCTTTGATTTCTGAAGCATTTAACATGTCTCCTCCAATAAGAAAGGGGTGACCAGAATTGCATGACAGAAGGAAAGAAGATATGGGCTGGACTTCAAAATATGTTAAAAAAGGAAAAGTGCCTCACTCCTTATTGGTCACATTTAGAGAATGCTAAGGCACCAACTTGTGATTCTGCCAACTGGTTAAATAAAGGGAAGGAATCAAGGACTTATAAGTAATATAAACAGAAAAGCATGAAGATAAATATTTTGAACTAATTAATTTTGGTCAAGCAAGTGCTAATGGCATTATTTTATTATGTGTGATCCTTCTGTGCTTTCTTATCCTCAAAGGAACTCCTTCAACATTCCTTCTATTTTTGTTTTCATTGAGGTAACATTGGTTTATTACACTGTCTATGATTCAGAGGTAAAATATCATACCCCTTTAAATGTATGTTACTACTGAAGAGAAACATTTTCAAATGGTTTCATAAAATTCTATTATAGGAATGAACCCCTATTGATGGATAATTTTTTTCTCATTTTTCTTCATTCTTTTCTTTCTCCCTCCTACTCTTCTTTGGTAAGTAAAGACTGGGGCAACAACTATCCTTATATATATTATAATTTTGAGTCACTCGGTAAACTGTTGTGGCAGTGGGATTGCTGAACTAAAGGGTATTTTTAAAGGTGTATTTAAAAAAATATTAATAGCTGTTACTGTGCTGTCCTTTGGAAAAGTTACACCAGTTTATGTTCCCTCCTACTGGTTTAAATTAACATTTTATATTTCCCCATGCCTTTGCCAATATGAGGTATCAGAAAACTTATTTAGACTTTGTGATAATAAAAATAGCACCTCAGTTTTTTTATTTGAATGTAATATAGTTATGAGTAAGTTAATTTTAATTTATTGTTATGTAAATTGTTCACATTTTTTGGTTAGTGGATTTTATTATTCATTTCTAACCAGGTTCCCTTGAGTTTAATGCTTTGGTTGCTTCCAGAGTGCTTAGGGGCTTCTGTTATACTCAGACATTTGTATGGGGGCAATGGGATGCTACAGAAAGATCTTTTGGGGAGGAGCTCTGTTCTATGATTAGTTTTATGATTAATCATAAAGTATTCTCAACGTACATTGTAATGATCAAATACAGTGCTTTATGGATAAAGCATTTTTGTAAGCCCTAAAGTAGTGTACAAATATAACAAGTTTTATCAAGTTTATTTACTTTTTTTTTTAAGATTTATTTATTTATTTATACAAACACTGGGTACAGTCAGGAGCACGGGAGGGTGAGAGAATTCACCCAAACCAGAGTGGGGAACAGAACAGGCAGATTGACGAAGTACACTGCTGAGGGGAGCAGCGGGCACGGCAGGAGAGGTCTGTACGCCATATGGGACCCTCGCCGGAGGCCAGGGATGGAACTGGTGCTGCAGAGGCTACGGGCAGCTTCGCAGCCCAGCACTCAACCCCTGCGCCACCAGGGGAGACCCAAGTTTATTTACTTTTGAAAGAAAACCTTCAAATGTTCTGTTTAATTCTTTTTTTAATAAATTTATTTAATTTAAATTATTTTACATATTTTTACATCATTTCATTTTTTTGTACAATGTATGCATTTTCACGTTAGTTGTAGTCTCCATAAAATTCCCACCACCCATTCACCTATGAACTATCACCATGGTCCCTTGTGCTCTTCCCACCCTTGTTTTGATCCTACTCCCTTCTTCCCGTTGTATGTCTCTGATTTACAGCTGCCTGTTGATTTTGATTTTTACTTTATTATAATTAGTTTTTTTCCTGATCCCTTATTTGGATCCTCTCTATTTCTCCTAAACATGAAACCATCTGGTATTTTTCTTTTTCTTTGTGGCTTATTTCACTGAGCATGATTCCTTACAGCTCCATCTATGTTGCTGCAAATGGCATGAATTTATTTTTTTTTGATTGCTGAGTAATATTCCATTGTGTATATGTATCACATCTTCTGGATCCAGTCATCTATTTGGGGGCCTTTTGAGTTGTTTCCATAGCTTACCTATTGTAAATAGTGCTGCAATAAACATTGGGGTACAAGTGTCCTTTTGAATTAATGTTTTTGTGTCCTTTGGGTAGATATCTAGGAGTGGAATTCCTGGATCATATGGAAGCTCCATTTTTAGCAGATTGAGGAACCTCCACACAGCTTTCCATAGTGATTGCACCAGTTTGCACTCCCACCAGCAGTGTAGTAGAGTTCCTTTTTCTCCACATCCTTGCCAACATTTGTTGTTGCTAATTTTTTTAATATGTGCCATTCTCACTGGTGTAAGATGGTATCTCATTGTGGTTTTGATTTGCATTTCCCTGATTATAAGTGATGTTGAACATTTTTTCATATGCCTGTTGGCCATTTGCATTTCCTCTTTGTATAAGTTTCTTTTTAGCTCTTCTGCCCATTTTTTGACTGAGTTATTTACTTTGTTTTTGTTGAGTCTCATCAGCTCTTTGTAGATTTTTGTGATCAGTCCTTTATTAGTATTATGTGCAAAAATTTTCTCCTAATCAGTGGGCTGTCTCTTTGTTTTGGTTACTGTATCTTTTGCTGTACAGAAGCTCTTTAATTTGATGTAGTCCCAGCTGTTTATCCTTTCCTTCACTATAACTGCTTTGGGTGATGTGTCTTTAAAGAAGTTGCTAAGGTGTATATCATGTAGTGTTTCACCCATATTTTTCTTCTATATATTTTATGGTTTCACATCATATGTCTAGTTCGTTAATCCATTTTGAGTTGCTTTTTGTGCATGGTGTGAAGTAGTGGTCAGTCTTCATTCTTTTGCGTGTAGCAGCCCAGTTTTCCCAGCACCATTTATTGAACAAACTTTCTTTGCTTCATTGCATATTCTTTGCTCCTTTGTCAAAGATTAGTTGACCATAAATATGTGGGTTTATTTCTGGGTTTTCTAATTAGTTTGTGTGTCTGTTCTTGTTCCAGTACAGTGCAGTTTTGATTATAATGGCTTTGTAGTATAGTTTGAAGTCTGGGAGTGTGATTCCTCTATTCCCTTCTTTCAGGAGAACTTTGGCTATTTGGGGTTTTCGATGGTTGCATATGAATTTCATCAATATTTGTTCTATTTCTTTGTAGAATGTCATTGAAATTTTTATTGGAATTGCATTAAATCTGTAAATTGCTTTTGGTAAGATGGCCATTTTGATAATGTTAATTCTTCCAATCCATGAGCAGGGGATGTCTTTCCATTTCTTTGTGTCTTCTTTTATTTCTTTTAACATTGTTTCAGAGTTCTCTTTGTATAGGTCTTTTATTACCTCTTTTGTTAGGTTTATTTCCAAGTATTTGATTTTTTTTTCAATAATAAAAGGGATGGTTTTCTTGATTTCTACTTCTTCAGATTTATTGTTTGTATATAGGAAAGCTACTGATTTTCATGTGTTGATTTTGTATCCTGCTACTTTACTGAACTGGTTAATTAATTTGATTAGTTTTTCTGTGGAGTTTTTGGGATTTCCTTTGTATGTTATCATATCATCTGTGAATAGTGGTAGTTTTACTTCTTCCTTCCCTATTTGGATTCCTTGTACATCTTTCTCTTGTCTTATTGCTCTGGCTAGGACTTCCGGTATTATATTGAAAAGCAGTGTTGAGAGTGGACATCCTTGTCTTGTTCCAGATCTTAAGGGAAATGCTTTCAGCTTTTCACCATTGAGAATGATATTGGCTATGGGCTTGTTATATATGATTTTATGATGTTGAAGTATGTTCCTTGTATCCCAAGAATTTCAAGGGCCTTTATAATAAATGGATGTTGTACTTTGTTTAAAGCTTTCTCAGCATATTGATATTATCATATGTTTTTATATCTCTTTTGTTGTTGTGTTGGATTACATTAATTGATTTTGGGATGTTCAACCATCCTTATGTCTCTGGAATAAATCCTATTTGGTCGTGAATTATCTTTTGGATACTTTGTTGGATTTGGTTGGCTAAGATTTTATTAAGGATTTTTGCATCAGTGTTCATTAGGGAGATTGACCTGTAGTTTTCTTTTTTTGTGTTGTCCTTGTTCGGTTTTGGTATTAGTGTAATGTTGGCTTCATAGAATATGTTTGGTATTATCCCTTCCTTCTCAATTTTTTGAAAGAGTTTGTATAGGAAAGATAGGCACTAATTCATTTCTGAATGTTTGGTAGAATTTATTTGTAAATCCATCTGGTCCTGGGCTTTTGTTTTGGGGGAGGGTTTTGATTACCATTTCAATTTTGCTGCTTGTAATTGGTCTGCTTAGGTGTTCTATTTCTTCTTTATCTAGCATTGGGTGATTGGAAAGTTGTAGGAATTTGTCCATCTCTTTTAGATTGTTGAACTTGTTTGCATATAACTGTTTATAGTAGTTTCTGATTATTCTTTTGATTTCTGCTGTGTCTGTTGTGATTTCTCGTCTTTCATTTGTGATCCATTTATTTGTCCTTCCTCCCATTTTTCCTTTGTAAGCCTGGCTAGGGATTTGTCTATTTTCTTTATTTTTTCGAAGAACCAACTTTTGGTTTCATTAATCTTTTGGATTGATTTTTTAATTTCTATTTCATTTATTTCTGCCTTGATTTTTATTATTTCCTTTCTTCTTCTGGTTTTAGGGGTTTTTTGTTGTTCTTTTTCTAGTTCAAAAAATACGGAACACTTCATAAATTTGCGTGTCATCCTTTCACAGGGGCCATGCTAATCTTCTCTGTATCGTTCCAATTTTAGTATTTGTGCTGCCCAAGTGAGCACTTCTGTTTAATTCTTTAAAAGATGTTAAGGGAGCTTCTGTAAACTTCAAAAATTAATTTCAGGAAATCTGATCTGTGCTTTACTGTTTTTATGTGTAGGAAGATTATAAATTCTTCTTTGGGGTTTAAATAAACCCAGCATTTTAATTAATATGTTTATTTGGCGATCTTTTAGTCCTATAATAGATTAAGGATTCTAATAGTTTTACTTTATACTGAAATTGGCTCTTTCAGGGAAGGACTTTTGAAGTTATTAGTTTTTTAATTGTGCTTTTTAGTGTAACATTTATTTTGGAAGCATAATTATTTAATATCTTGAGTAACAGCCCATTCTCTGGCAGTAAGACACCTGGTATAATAGTTTAAGACCTCAGTGAAATATTTTTACTTTTCCAACTCCTTTGCCATGTAAAATATACTGATGTGATTTAAACCCAAAAAAGCATATTTGATGCCTGCTTATCACTCTTAAGTATGTTTAGCATTGGTTGTTGAAATTGAGGAATTCTGTGTTAATGAGGAGGTGGTAATGGTAAAATAAATAATATATTGATATATAAATATATTAATCTGTGATGTCATGAGGACTGGTAAAGAAATTTTGCAAATTTTATAAGGAATATTTATATACTGTGGATTTTTCACTCTTAAAAATTCTATAGTCATTATATATATCTACAGATATGAAGACTATATTTTAAACTTAGTCATTTAAAGACATGAAACTTATAAACAAAAGAAGCCAAAAACAAGCTAGGAATACTGTAGTTACATCAAAAATGATGAGATTGCTATCTATGAAATATAAGTTGTTAAGAATACAGAGGGTATTCAGGCTTTGGGATCACACCTGATTTTTTCTACACTGTTTATGCTTCTCTGTGGGTCCAGTTTTTTTTTTTTCTTTCAGTATGTCTATACTACCTTTGTAATTGAAAAAGAAAATGAACATTATTTACTTAAAATCACTTTTATGATGAACTTTCCATGCTAGGCAATGCATTCTGCCCAGACCTCTGTAGCAGATTCCTTTTTTTTTTTTTTTTAAGGAATTTCATTACAGTAGAATAAAGACTCGTGCAATGGTATCTCTTACTCTTTTATTTTTTTAAAGATTTATTTTTATTTATGCATACAAGAGCTGGGGTACAGGCCAGAGGTGTGGAGGGTGAGAGGATTCACCAGAGACAGAGTGGGGAACAGTACAGGCAGATTGACCGAAGTACACTGCTGAGGGGAGCAGTGGGCGAGTCAGGAGAGGTCTGCTGCACCATGTTGGTAGCTCCCTGGCCGGGCATCGAACTAGTGCTGCAGTGGCTATCGACAGTTTCATAGGTTGCATCTTAACCCCTTGCACCACCAGGGAGGCCCCAGATTCCTTTTTCATGGTGTTGAAATGAGAAGAACCTAGGTTTATTTTTAAAAGAGGGCAACATTTTTTCTTTTTGATTGAACCACTTAAGAATAAAGATGGTTCTGGACCTCCCCGGTGGCGCAGCGGTTGAGCGCTGGGTTGCGAAGCTACCTGCAGCCTCTGCAGCGCAGGTTCGATCCCCGGCTGCTCCCCGGGCCACCTGAGGAGGGTCCCACATGGCGCGCAGACCTCTCCTGCCGCCTGCTGCTCCCCACAGCAGTGTACTTCGGTCCTCCTGCCTGCTCTGCTCCCCGCTCTGGCTCTGGTGAATTCTCACACCCTCCCGCACTTCTGACTATACCCAGTGCTTGTATAAATAAATAAATAAATCTTTAAAAAAAAAAAAAAGAAAACTGATAAAAAAAAAAAAAGAATAAAGATGGTTCTATGGAAACTGACTTTCCTGAGTTACCTTAAAATATAATATCTAAAATAGTTCTAGAAAATTTGACCTAACTTTTTTTAACAGGTCCACAATATCCCACTAAAGCAAAATTTGTCAATGTCCTTGAAGGATGATAAAGATAAGTTGATAAAGATAGCATTTCAGTTGTGCACATTAATGGATTTTAATAAAGGAACAAAATGTTCAGGTCTTGCAGTTCTCTTTACAGTGTTGAGGTGTAGAGCCTTTTGTGCAGTTCCATAATGAATTTATTGACAAAAACCTATTGGCAGTAGGCTAGAGTTTGCATTTGTAAAATTAGCAACACATTATTTTCAGTTACTGTGATTGAAGATTGTCATAGGTTATTTATACCTTTAATTTGGTTTAAAGGAAAAATATTGCTTTGACAATCTTTCATTCAGATTTTGAAGGGACACAAAAGATATTCCGCTTTTAAAGAGAGTGGACTAGAATAAATTTTTGAGCAAGTTCCTTCCATATGTATTTATGTATGTTTGTGTATCAAACATGAACACATAAAATTAAACCAAATTAAAACATTTCATAAGGCAGTCAACAAGATTAGATTATCAAAATGGAAATTTTGAGGTGGAGAGTGTTATGAACTTTAATTTGAATAATATTTTGGAAAACAGCAGATTTTTTTTTCTATAGAATCAGAATTTTGACAAATATTTAAGGGACATGCTATACAAACATACAAGAATTACCTGATTCCTATCTGAATTTGATAACAGAGAAATTTCAGGGTTTTTTAATTTTTCCATTATGACTTATTTACCATTTGTATTTTTATTGTGAGATAATCAAGAATTAAAATAAAATGTACATTGCAAATCTTTTTTTTCAGTGATTTTGTCACTTCTTTGAAAATTTAGCTTCTAAATGTAGATCCTCCTTATAGGTGTGTGAGTTTTCCCTTACTAATAAATAACAGAGAGTATTCCAATCATCTGCACTACAAAGAAACGTTTCTCATTCTATTTTAGTAATCTGAGAATAGCAAATATTTAGAAGAACTACAATACAATGGCAGAAGGAGAAGAAAATTGAAGTTTGGTGGGATCTTCTCTTGTCTGCATTAGAGTTGAAGTTTATTTAGAGAGAGAAGAAGAAATATTGCAAATTTGCAGGATAATAAAGGAACTAAATTCTCTGCAGCTTTATGAATGGAGAAAAAAATTTCTGTATGTTTCCTTTGTTCCAATTTTAAAACTTCCTATATTGTGTTTTGCTTTTAAGCCATTTCCCATCTTTCTGACTTGGTTTTCCATGGAAAACTAAGAAAACATTTTATGATGGAATCACATACATTCTTTATCATCTTATGACAGGGTAAACCTACTGGAAATAATTGATGATGATGACATTTAAGACTATGTTGGCCTCTCCTTGTGGAGCAGAGGGGTGAGTGTAACACTGTGAAGCTGTCCATAGCCTCTGCAGCGCAGGTTCGATCCCCTGCAGCCAGTGAGATTACCACATGGCGCAGCAGACCTCTCCTATCTTGTCCGCTGCTCCCATCAGCAATGCTTTCTATCCATCTGCCTCTTCTGCTCCCACTCTGCCTCTGGTGAATCCTTTCACCCTCCTGCACCTCTGGCCTATACCCCACCTCTTGTATAAATAAATAAAATCTTAAAAAAAAAAAAAAAGACTATGTTAAACATCAGCTTTGTGTATTTGTATAAATATTTAGAAATTCATATGCATTGAGAAATTAAAGATACTGTTAGAGAAACTAAAATAGATAACTTTTTACAAGGAAATTTTTTAGAAAGAATGATGAGGCATGGGCCTTCTTGATGGTGCTGTGGGTTGAGTGCAGCACTGTGAAGCTGTACGCAGCCTCTGCAGCATGGGTTTGATTCCTGGCTGGCCAGGGAGATTCCCACATGACACGACAGACCTCTCCTGTCACGCCCACTGCTCCCCTCAGCAGTGCTTTTGGTCTGTCTGCCTGTTCTGCTCCCCACTCTGTCTCTGGTGAATCCTCTCACCCTCCTGCACCTCTGGCCTGTACCCCAGCTCTTGTATGCATAAATAAAAATAAATCTTAAAAAAAAATGATGAGGCCTGTCATATGTAAAGACTTTAGTGAAATATGTAAGGTAATTGGACCAGCCTTTAGAAAAAGTACATGCTGAAAAACTGTATTTTTTCCTATAGCAAAGAAATATATGGGGTAGCACTTATGTAGGAAAATAATTTCATGTATTTTAAACAAACATTTTTTAAGAAGATAAGACCCAATATTTGCCAAGTTACAGGATTTAGAGGGCAACTTGACACAGCAATTTAAGCACCATAAATATATTCAGAACCTTTAACCAAGTAATTTCAAGTATGAAAATTTATCCTATGAAAATGATGGAAAAGACTAAGCAGAAAATAGCCACAATCACCACCAGGGTATACCCATGTACAAAGTTTTTATAGAAACTACTTTTTTCAGTTGCCATATTTAAAATAAAAATATGATAAAATAAAAATAATCCTGCATTGTTTAGAGATGGACTATACAAGAGTTACAAGAAATATTTGCATAGCCACATGCATGTTCAGGGTTGCTAATTATACACATATAGTTTAAGTATACTTGCAAAAGCTATATTGCAATTATATACAAAGTTCTGGAAATGTACAGTGTGTAGTGTTAAAATTCTATACTTAAAACACAAAATTGACAATATGTTGCCTCAGCTTACAAGTAGACAAAATGCAAAATACATCTGTATTAAAATGGAGGGCAGTCACACTTATAAGGTGAGAGGGACTTTGATAATAAGGAAAATCATTAGACTGACAGTCCTTTGAAATCATGGACTCTTTTTTTTAATTTAATTTTTTTTTAAAGGCTAACAAAAGGTTTATTTACAAGGGAAGGGGAATGAGGAAATGTACAACTCAGGGAGAAAAGAGAGAGAGAAATTCTTAAATGTGTCCTACCCATTCCGCTGACCTGGAATCCCAAATGACCCGCTAAGACCAAACCTGCTTGGCCAAGAGCACAAAGACAAATGTGCCAGACCCCACTAACATGGCTAGTTTTTATTTACAAACAGAGAAAATGGCTGCTGAACTCCGCCCTTAGGTGCTCTCAACTTCCCTTTGGGGATCCTGGGATTTGTAGTTCCCAGTGTCTTTGCTTTCCAGTGGGAACCCTGAGAAAAATTTT